ATAATGATGGATGAGAATAAAGTTAAAAAGGAACGAGCTTTTAGCCGGGTGGATTCCGGTTGCTCATAATCTTCTTTTGCCTTGATAAATATCAAGGGATCTAAGGATCATCGGTTACATGTAATTCAGAGTTCATTTTTATCAGTACTTCAACTTAAGTTTCATTACACATGTATATATTAGGTCTAGTTTACTGAGTGATTGTCAGAATTTCTGGTGAGCAAATGAGTAGAATTGCTAGTATGTCATGTCTGCTTGGTTTATATATTAGCTGGAAACTAGAAGTGCAGAAACATGGTTAATCAGATGCTATTTAACTTGGTGTTCTTCAAGGTTCATAAGTAATTAAGCCTGGCTTCATACTGTCTTGCATTGTTTATTTTGTGTTATCGCTATAGATCCATCTGATGTTTTGGTACCCTTGTACAGGAACATATAGAAAGAACAGGGTGTAAATTGAGCCAATGGATTTATTTAGGTGGCGTGAAATCTTTCGCAGATGGATCTTTGGGTTGTAATGATAATGGACTGTCGTTTCTTTTCAGAAGCCATTTCGTCAATCTGCAATACTCTTCACTTATCTGTGGTTAACCGAAAGTTAACTTTTCAACATGTCATTTCTTATTATTGGTCAAGTGACTTCATAGTTTTACTTTTTATTTTGTTTAGTTCACACATTTTATATTCACGTTTTGTATTAGTTAATGGTAACATTATTGTAATTATTTTTATTTTTTGACATTTTGTAGCCATTTGCTGATGAACCATCTAATCATGGCTTGCAATTGACAGATACAAGAATGCTATACAATATGACTCTATCTTCTGATAAAGCTCGGCTTCAGGTGCTCTGTCCTTTATGTCTGATGTTGTCTATCCTTGTTATGCCATCGAAATTACCATATCAACATTGTTATCATTTTAGTTTATTTCAGGTTGCTATTCATGCCATAGGCGACAGGTCCATTGACTTGGTCTTGGACCTGTATAAATCCGTGGCTTCTAAGAATGGAATGAGGGACCGAAGATTTAGGGTAAGCGTTCATTTGATAGTTAATCCCCCTTATACTTTATGTTTGCAGCTACATGTTATGATGCACTAGAATTTTTCAGTTATAAAGATTTAGTGACAAAATCAAGAATTTTCAGATAGAGCACGCTCAGCATTTGGCTCCAGGGACGGCAGCCAGATTTGGTGAACAAGAAGTTATAGCTTCAGTTCAGGTTCTCTTTCTCCTGGTCCTTTACTCACAATTTACATTCTGTGTATCAATCTTTCTACCATTGGAAACCTTTATTTCGATGGCATCAGTTTTTTGCTTATGAGCTCGTCGATAATCGATCAATGTTCTAGTTGTATCTTCTAATATAATTTTGTGTGAAGCCCGATCTCTTATTAGACGATGCTAATTCTGCCCCAAAAAAACTTGGGGCCGAGAGGGCCCATGGAGGATCATACTTATTTCAGAAGACAACCATGAAGGATCATACTTATTTCGCGACGCGTCGAATTCGTAGCCGGACCATTCTCGACTCCAACTATTGTCTTCAATTGCCGTGAATCGGTAACCGAGCGCAGGCGGGGCCCGCTGCAAAACGATCGTTCTCGTGAATTCGATTTCGCGTATTCCAAACAGAGCCCCTGCTCGTTTCGAAGACATCTCCTAAAAAATAAACATAATACGTAAAAATTGAAATAAAACAACTTTAAAATTGTTTTCTAATTCTATATTGCTACGTATATATAAATGAGATAAACACAATACATTATTAATTTATTATATTTACTTTCATCATGAGTGAAAAAGCAATAACCTCACATACTTTGACAGAGTTTGGAGATAACCATTGTGTTCGAACGAACTTGAATTGGCACTGTGATTCTTTTTTAATCCTAGGTCTTGGAAAGATTTAGTGATGATGTTTTTTTATAAGGATAATGACAGACTTCAATAAGGTTTTGCCTTGTAGAAGCTAAACTTTCCATGAAAAGTAAAAGAAGTAACAGTTACAGGTCAATTTTTTTGATTTTGACAATGTGGTTTGGAGTTATGTAAGAATATGAAGTTGTTTATTTAGAGCATAGTTATTTGAAGTAGGATTAGGAAATAAAATGATGTGATGTGATGCTTGCCTCGTACAGAATTAGGAGTTTCCTTTGTATGTGTATATAAAGAGGAGATTCCTTTTTATTCAACTCTTTTTACCAAAACCAAAACACACATACAAAGGAAATTCCTTTGTGATGCTTGCCTAGTAAGAATCAAACCACATTGTCAAAATCAAAAAAATTGACATGTTACTTCTTTTACTTTTCATGGAGAGTTCAGCTCCTACAAGGCAAAACGCTGTTGAAGTCTGTCATGATCATTATGAAAACATCATCACTAAATCTTTTCAAAACCTAGGATTGAGAAAATCACAAGGCCAATTCAAGTTCCTCGGTTCGGACACAATGGTTATCTCCAAACTCTGTTTGTGATCGTAAAGTATATGGGGTTATTGCTTTTTCACTCATGAGGAAGGTAAATATAATAAATTAATAATGTCTTGTGTTTATCTCATTTATATATACATAGCAATATAGAATTCGAAAACAATTTAAATGTTGTTTATTTCAATTTTTACGTATTATGTTTATTTTTGTAGGAGATGACTTCGAAACGAGCAGGGGCTCTGTTTGGAATACGCAAGTTCACGAGCACGTTCGTTTTGCAGCGGGCCCGCCTGCGCTCCGGTACCGATTCACGGGAATCAAAAACAATAGTTGGAGTCGAGAATGGTCCGGCTACGAATTCGGCAACTCACTTCAGGTAGCAGACATCAATCTTTTGGGAAGCATAAAGACAGCCATGAAAAGAGTACCTCCTGGTTGGGAAGACGATTGGATTCCATCCGAACGAATTATTTTAAAAGATGCATTGAATGGGTAAGGACTGTTACCTCATATATTATATTCTAAGGTTAATAAGAAGGAATACCCTCGTCTTGTAATCTAATTACAAAAGAGTCCTGAATTGTGTTCCAAAGTTGTGAGCATTTCAATAGTATTCAAACATGTAATGATACAAGGAGGGTATTTATATTTTGAATATATAAGTCAAGTTTACTTAGTCAAGACTTCAGATGCATTTCATCTGAGATTTTTATTTGAAAATCACTTGGTCTTGTGCTCTAAGAGCTATAGCATATATTATAAGTATGCACCAATCTCTAAGTGAGTTTATTTATTTCACTTCTCGGTAAGTATACTATTTCAACTACTCGGGCGTGCTTCCTTGATGATTGTACTCTATCTGCCGGTAAAGTGGCAGATTTTGTGATTCTATCTGCTGCCTCATGGGATAAGTTTGCTGAAGAAGGTTCTGCTCTTGTTGAGGCTACATACGTTGGTGGATTCGAACATACTCCAGGGACATTGACAAAGATTAATTAAGTAGAATTTGGCGAAAAAATGGGAATATTAAAAATATTGATGTTGAGGAGCACGTTTTGCGGGTCATGTCAGGTGTTTGGCCCGGAAGAGAATGAGACCCTCCTTCGATTGTCCTCTCATCTGTTTGGATTTCTGCAAGCGCACGAGACGTGAATACAACATCTTGAGTGTTGATAATGTAATGTTCAAGACACATCTTTAGTGATATATAAAACCTAATATTTAGTTGGATTGTTACATTTTTTAATGTTGATTTTTTAAACTTTTATTTTTTATTTTTTATTTGTAATTACATATTTTTAAATTTATCTATTTTCTTTTTAAAAATATTCATTTGATAAGCTCTCTATGCAATGTGCTGCAAAAGTATTTTTTTTTCCTTAAAAAATGTTCATTTGGTAAATGAAATGTGCTGCAAATGTTTTTTCTTCATAAATTATAAAGAAAAATGTTACTAAGTACATAATAAATGTAGATAGAGGTGTACATAACATTCACATGGAGTAAGGTCCACTTGATTTTTTTTTTTTGGTATGTCCCACTCAATGTGAGTGTTATGTACATCATTATGTACAATATTATGTACCTTAACATTATTCAATTGTAAATACATGAAATCTCAATTTTTTGTTTATTTTTTTTTAAGTTTGAGGGTGATACGGATTTTATAAGTTTTTTTAAAAATTTGATGATACACATATCCAGGGGCGGATTTGTATTGGGCCCAGGGGGGCCCCGGGCCCCCCTGATTTTTTTTTTTTAAAACCTATATATATATATATACACATATAAAGAAAATATAAAAAAATATGTATAAAAATGTACAAAATATATAAAGAAAATATTAAAAAATATGTATAAAAATGTACAAAATATTTACAATATATTAATAATTATTTTTTATGCTATTTTAGTTTAAATTAATAAAATTATTTATTTTAAAAATGTGTTAACAATCGTTATATTTTACATTTTTAGATTAATTTTTGAAAATATTATAATGATTTACTCTTAATTGTAAATCGAATTAGTGATTTATAAAACCTAGTATTAAGTACTGTTACATTTTTTAATGTTGATTTTTCATTTTTTTTGTGTGTAATCACATATTTTTAAATTTATTTATTTTCTTCTTAAAAAATGTTCATTAAGCTCTAATTAACAAAAGTTCTATGAAATGTGCATCAAAAGTTTTTGTCTATTTTTTGTTTCTTCTTAAAAATCGTTCATTTGCTTAACATAGTGCATTGCAAATGTTTTTTTTTTCTTAAATTATAAATACATAAAATCTCACCTTTTTTTTTTTTTTTTTTAAGTATTAGGGTTACAGATTTTTTAAGTTTTTTAAATATTTGATAGTACACATATCGACAATTATATTTATAGTTAATACTTTTTTTCATATAAAATGAACGTTTAAACTTAAACTACAAGCTTGTTATAACATTTAAAATCGGGCCCCCCTCAGCGAAATTCCTAGATCCGTCACTGCACATATCGATATTTACATTTGTAATAAATACATTTTATTTATGAAATGAGCGTTTCACCTTCAACTACAAGCCGCTATAATATTTAAAATCGGCTCCTTAAGTGAAATTTTTAGATCCGTCACTGTGTGGAATGCTTCATGCTTGGTGGTTATGGTTCGTTTGTGTGGTAGCCTTTGGAATAATTTTGGGCATTATGTGTATATACGTGTGACTGGTAATAGAGACTTGTATTTCGCAATTGTTCAAGTGAAAAAAAGAAAAAAAAAAAAAAATGTGATACTTTTCATCTGAAATTGTAATACATTGCTGCAATTTGTGATACTTGTACGTGATGGAGGACCTGTGTACAAATTAAAATATAATACTCTGACGTCATATTTGGCATAAATGTCCAAATATTTACATGCGTGAAAAATAAAGTCTACATATTTATAGAAATGTCACTGCGTGTTTAACTGAAGTTGGACTCTTCGATTGTATCTGGAGTGTTGATATATTGCATCCAACATTAGAATACATTTTTATTCTTTCATTATGACCCTTTTTCAGAAGATCACACTTACATATAATAATAATGAAATTGCACAACAATAATTTTTTTAATAAAATTATTGTTTGAGTATTATGACGAACCAGAGTATGTAAAATTATTATTTTTTTCCATATTGAAAAATAAATATATATGTTAAAGCATTATTTATATTAATATAAACAAGTCAGACTAATACATTGTTAAAATAAAGTTTAAAAAAATATTCTCAGATATGAAACCCTGTGCATCGACTAGTTTATTTCTAACAAAAAATAGTACTTTTAAATTTTTTATAGAATTGGTCTCTTGCATGAAGTTGTGAACTTGTGATACTTTGAAGACAATTAATAGTATTTTAATGTAGTACCATAATATTGATGAGTATCATGTTGCACTAATAAATTAATTTACAAATTAAATTACGAAAAATATATATGACAAACATTCATTACCTTTTCACATATATTACTACCAAAATTAATAGTCTAAATTTACCAATATATAATTCGGTATATCAATTAATAAATTAATTTATAAATTGAATTATTGAAATACACATGACGAACATCATATATTTTACATAGTATAATATTACAAAAATCTCCAAATCTATAAATATATAATATGGTAAATCAATTGATAAATATGTCGAAGTAGATTAATTCATATGGATAATGATATTTACGTGAAACAACACTAAAGAAGTACTTACTTTTGATTGAAAGCGTGATAACTTAGTCATACTTTCAAAAACATTATGAATTTTTTAAATATATAAAAATCCATTAAAAAAAACCTCTTAAATTTTACTTTATAAATTTTAACTTATAATTTTACCTTATAAATTATATCCACGAGCACCTAACTTTCCAAAAACTAGTTCTATTAATTAAGACAAAAACGTTAGATTTTATATTCATTGAATAATAATTAGTTTTTTTATTGTAACATATAATAGTTATTATTAGAATTAATAATTATATTTTACACTAAATGATATATGAAAGTTACATAAACATAAAAAAATATATTGTATTACTTTTTGTTCAAGTTATTATTCTAAAATTAATATTTTTTTATCTGATTAAGAGATTTTTTTTTTCCCCGAAACGATAGAGAAAATATATTGCTCCAAAAAGCAAAAGAGTACATGATACAACTGAACAACCGAAACTATAGAACTGAGAGGACACGCACTACAGCGGCCTAGAACCTCGGAATAAACTAACTCGCAAAGAAACTAAAAAGAACAAAAAAATCTAAACTAGCTCTCCACTGCCAAAGTCTAGAGAGCTATAATAAGAAAACCAAATACAAACTACCAATAAACTATAATAAAAAAAACCAAATACAAACTACCAATTAACTAGATTATCCATAAACAAACCAAAGCTAAGACCACAACAAACAAAAGAAAAAGAACTATTATGAGAAAGTCTATAGAAGCTGAACAAATTCCAACCACTGCCTATGAGTAGTCTTGACAATTTGTGGAGATGATAGAGATGTGTTTTAAAAAATTCAGAGGTTTCAAGCTTTCCAAAGCCACCACAACATGTAGGTGGTCAATTGAATCTTGAATTCTGCAACATCTGAGTTAGCAAGGGAACACAAGTGAGACCACCAACATCTGAAAGATGTAGTAAAGGATTTCAAGCCATCCCATTGAACTGGGGCAATGTCCCATACCCTGCAGGCTTTAGGACAGTTGAATAGAACATGTTCTATAGTCTCAGCTTCACAACCACAAGACTGACAAATTGTGTCAATAACCAAACCCTTCTTAACCAAGTTGTGTTTCACAGGTAAAGAGACAGTAAGACACTTCCAAAAAAAATGTTTAACCTTACCAACCACTTTCAGTTTCCAGCACCTGACATAGATATATATGATGCAGATTGTTTGATGAAGAGCTACAACAAGGGAGATCCAGTGCAAGCAGCTTTTGTTTTGTCAAAAAAGCATAAGTACTAGCCACAGAGAATTTTCCTTTCTTATCAAAGGACAATAATAACCTAATATAAAAAATGGCCTTACTGTCTGCTTTATTAAACAACTGGATGACCAGCCATTCATTCGAGCCATTTCCAGAGGGATTAAGAAGCTCTTTGACCCAAATGCTATGATCTCTAGCAATTTAGAAGGATAGACTTTGGCATGTTGAGTGAAGGGACCCAATTGATATCATCAATCCTAGTGGAGGCCTCATTTCTGATTTCCACTGAAAAGCCTTTAACAAAAATAGGAAGAACAGTGAGCCAGTTAGACCATAGCCAAGAACAATTATTGGATTTGACAGCATCAAAGATAGAGGAATGTGGATAGTATATGTCCTTTAAAATTGTGCTAACAAGAAGAGAAGGCTGAGAGATGATTCTCCATAGTTGCTTACAGATAAGAGCTTTGTTGAAGTTCTTAAGATCTAAGAACCCAAGGCCTCCTTCAAATATAGGCAATGAGAGTGCAGACCATTTCCAATGAATTCCAGCTTCTTGACCATCACCGTTACTCCACCAGAAGTTAGAGCACCACTTTGAGATTTCAGAGCACATACATGATGAGACAATAAAGCAAGACATAGAATATAGGAAGTGCTTGAAGGACAACCTTAACGAGCACTTCTTTACCAGTAGGGGATAACATCTTTGCTTTCCAATTCTGAAGTCTAGATTCCACAGAGTCCAGGACATGTTAAAAAGCTTCTCTCTTTTATCTGTCAATGCCCAATGGTAACCCCAAGTACCTTGTTGATTTGTGAGATGAGATGCCTTGCAGGGTGGAACAAATTTTGTCTTGCAAAGTATGAGGAGTGTTCTTGCTGAAAAAGATGGTTGAAGAGATTGATTTTTTAGATAAATTACTTTATTTTAATGTCATCGTAAAATTTTTACAATCGCATAAGCAATTGTTATAATAAATATGATATATTTCAGCAAATTACTTGATCGTGATCTCTTAAAATTATAAATATTACAATATTTTATATATTTTATGCAATCAATTTAGTGATTCATATACAATCAAATAGTTATGTACTATTTATTTCGAAAAATGATCAAACTTTAGAACATAATACAATTATCTAACTTATAATTTTAATACTATATTCATAAATATAACTTATAATACTCTATGTTTAAAATTTAATTTCATCATCTAACTCATAATTTTAATATTATTAAATAACTTATACTACTATACTTATTCTTGTGCAAATACACATAGTTGAATACTAGTTTGTGATATTTTCAAATATTGGGTGATAAATAATAATCTAATTCCAGCTCTTCCTCACAAGAACACAACTACGTGTTTTAATTATTATTTTAAAATATAAAAATAATAATATATTAGAGTGTATTTGAATGATATTTTAAGATTTTTTTTTTTAAAAAAAAATTGAAGACTATTTAAGAGTGATTATAATAAATTTTATGTTATTAAAAATTTTATACATACAAAATAAAAAAAAAATAACATTAGGTATTTTTATTTTTCAAATACTACTGAAAACTTGCATTGCTAATTTATTTGGTGCATATATGCAAGCTTGATGAATCTTTTACATATACAATGAATGTCAAATTAAAAAATCGCCAAAATACGATTAGTTTGCTTTACTATATGGAAAAACAAATAATAAATAAAAAGTTATCAAGTCTTAAATTTATTATTCATGTGGATTAAGTGTTTTATAATTTTAAAAATCCTAATATAGGAATAAAAATCAAAACATTTTTTTTTTTTTTCGGTACAATGGAGGAGGCCAAATGTCTGGCACGGTGATTAGGCTAGAACTCGACAGGGATACGATACCCAAATAATGTCGTGTTCAAGCCAAATTCCCATACCTAACGGAATTGAGGATATCCTCTGCAAACCAATTGGGCAGGATGCCGCCATGCTCGTCAAATGGTCAGCTTAAAAGATTGTTTCTTTATGCATATGAAGTATCCTAACGTGCCACTCTCTCTGGATCAAACTACGAATGACCTTGACCAAAGTGTCATGGGATCCAACAGTATCGTCTGAGCTTAAGTACCATTCTCGCCATGCATTGGCTATCAATCTCAACAATAACATGACGGTATTCTTTGTCCCAAGCCTACTGTAGCCCCAGAAATAGACCCCAGAGTTCTGCGCCCGTAATGGTGCAAAACCCAATATTCATAAGAAAGCCCTCGATCCAGCCTCCCTTGTCGTCTCGTAGCAGTCCGCCTGCACTACTCAGTCCCGTGAGATTGTGGAATGCACCATTAGTGTTCACTTTAATCCAACCCAATATTCATGCATGTTACACGCATAATATATTGAATCAAAATATTTTAAACCACTATAATTTGGCACATAGGTGCAAAGCGTTAGAAATCGACACAAAGGCTCGAAAATTCATTATGATTGGATATAAAAAATTTAGTTTTGTTTGAATTTTTTTGTTTGGTTTGGTTATTTTTGAAAAAGTTGGTGTGGTTAGTTAGTAGTGTGTATAGTAAAATAATATTTAAAATAAAATGATTAAAGTTGATTTGATGTAAAGTAGGAGAAAGAAAATTTGAAGTGGTGGTTAGTTAAAAACTTAAAATTATGTACCCAAGAGCGCTTGGATGAGATGGTTTGGGTCTCTTCCAGCTTAACCAGTGGTCTCGTGTTCGAGCCCTGAGAATGCAGCAGTGTTAAAACTCTTGAGGGAGAGCTTTGCCGCCCTTGTGGTCCTACCCGGCTCGATTCCGGATTAGTCGGTTCCCATGTGGATCCGGAAACCGGAAGGTTCCTGTACAAAAAAAAAAAAAACTTAAAATTATGTGAGTGGATTAATAGTGAATTAAGATGATGTAGTGTAAGAATGATTGAATGATATTATTTAATTATATTGAGTTAAAAAAAGTGTTTGAGTTAAAAATGTTTAAATTTTTTTGAGAAATTTTGTATCAAAACATGCCAACAGAGATTTGATGGTGAGATTTGACATATTCAGTTTGTATTTGAATTCGAAATAAATTTTCATATCTCATAAAATATTTCATTGTTAAATAATTTAATAGATAAGCTACAACTTTTTAAAATATTTTAAAATTTCAATTAAATATAATTTCAAAAAGTATAAGGTAGGTACACCCGCAGCCTAAATAATCTGGTTCACACCGCTAACACCTCACCGGCTACCTTCAAACAATCACGGCGAGGTACGTTCGCGTGGCCGATCATACGCCGCCGCACAATTTCTGTTTCCTTGTCGGCTGCTATCTTAATTCCTCAAGCAAG